TTTTTAATTATATTTATCTTTTACATTCTGATTCTGTAATAAGACTAGTAAAAATACAAAAAAGAGTACACTGAAACCTCTTCATATATGCTTTTTGACTTGACTTGAGTTTATGGCTTAATTTCAAGTCAAGTCAAGTCAAGTCAAAAAACGACTTGACTTGCCCATCTCTGCTGGAAGATATTGTAATATTTAAATGAATTTAGTTTATAAAAATACAATCTGACATATTTAAAGTTAAAAGAAAATGTTATTGTATGAAATTATAAACGAACAAACAATAGATAAGAAAAATTCAAGAACTATAATATTTGAAAAACTATAATCTTAAATCGATAATAAATGAGAAATAAATCTCATTGTATATCGTCATAAATACATTTAGTTTAAAAATAACTTCCAAGATCACTTTGTAACATTAATTCATTTGCTTTTGTCATTGTAATATATGCTTAGTCATTGTTGATTATTTACCTGTTAAAGTTAGTTACCTCACTCTAGATAATGAGTAAAAAAGTCTGTTTTGTATGTTGTAATGTAAGATTGTGCAATACTACGGGTTATCTATTGACTCATTCATATCTATTGAATTATTATACAATTGTTTTTTTCTTCTTCTATTCTTTCAGTGTATATAAAAAGAAGTGTATTTTGTTGTTTATTACATATTTTATTATCACGCATTGTAATGGAATTATTGCCTGACGAACTGCTTTCACTCATTTTTCGTTATTTGCACAAATTCGACATCCTCTGTGCATTCTGTAATCTTAATCAACGTTTTCGACGATTAACTGCACCCTACCTTTACGAGATCAATATTACAAATAAAAATACTCCTCTTCCCTACAGACAGTTTTTATATTTTCTTCACAAAATTCTTCCTCTTCAATCGAAACAAATTCATTCTGTAAAACTTTCATGTACCGATCCACAATCTCAACTGTTCCATCAGCACATTATTCATTTGACTAATCTTGAATCTGTCACATTATATTCAAATGATTATTACATTCCGTTGTACATCGTCAGACAAAATGAATATCTCAATGGAATTTTGCATCGGAAATGTGTGAGAGAACTGACTATCCATTCTAATGCATATATGATATTACAGACGATCTCTAACTATGCTACGCAAAGCTTGACGACACTCACATTATTAAATTTAAAGCATATTTCAAATTTTGACAATGTTTCACAAATGCCTTTTATCAAATGTCTAACAATCAATTTAGTATATATGAAACAAGTGGCACAAATATTTCAAATTATGATAAATCTCGAACAACTACATTTAATATGGCACAGTACTGATCAAACTGTGAGACATTTGGTATATCCATTCATTCGAAATGCTGATCCGCCTTTCGAAACAAACGATTTTCATCTTTTACAAATTCCACGAACTCTAGAAGAACTACATTTAAAAATTCAATATTTATCATTAGATAATTTAAAATCGTTTTTAAATCGATTTCATAATCAACAGTTGAAATCATTGATTCTAATTGTTAATGATACGGACAGTGCATTTCCTAACTTTGACATATTTCAAAATTTAACAAACAACTTTACTTCCCTTCAAACTTTCGAATATTGTATTCGAACCAAACATCGGCCCGATTCTCGATTTTCGAACGTTGAGCAACTATCGAACTCTACCTATTATTTCTATACTCTTCCACGACCTCAATTATTACCTTTCAAAACAATAACGTTTAATCAACGAGTAACAACAAAATCGTGTCTTAACTCACTTGAGAATCTAGCACGATTACTTTCCGATGAGGTACTTGAAATTTATGGCGAGCGGTATCCTGAGCTCGAACTCACAGACGACAAAATTAAATTTATAAACTTAAAGGAAATTCGAATTATCAAGAAAATTGAATCTTTTCATCATTCAACGGATCAATATTTATCAAAAATCATTCGCATGTCACCGAACTTACACACAATTTATATTAATAGCTGCAGTACAAAGAAAATAATCGGACATTTGAAGAATATTCTACGTAAAAAATTTAAATCTCATTTAAATCTTCAATGCAGTCTGAATTCATCTTATTATGGTGATTATCACATAGAATTTTTTTATGATTTATCAAAAATTCTTCCAAATTTAAAGTCTATAACATTTCCATGTGTGGCACAATTTATCTGTCAACATGGAACTACATTGATCGATCTCATAGAAGATCTTCGTAGTTATTTTTCTAGTTTGATACATATACGCCTAGAATTTGACGGACGTTATACCAGTTGTCAACAAACCCTTAAAATTTATACGAAGGAACTCAATGAAAAACATGATACAGTGGGCTATACCATTATATCTGATCGCTATTCTCGTATATTTTTAGATATCTGTTTGTAATAAATACTCTTATTCTAACAATTTAACACATGGGCACTGACATAGTTAACCTATTCAGATTCTATCGAATAAATCTTAAAAATATGTGGTTGTAGGTGAACAAAAACTTGTTCCATAACTACACGCGCATACATACTCTTATATGAAAAAACAGAACGAAAATAAGTTATGAAAATAATTCTGTGCTTAATTATACTTTTTCTTGAGGGTATGAGTGCTTTATGAGAAAACTTAATAAGGACATTTGAAATTTCTTTTCTGCGAAAAAAAAGAGTAACATTTCACAAAAAACTTCAAAAGTAATACACTTTCTTATGAAGTTACACGGACGAGTTCGTATTCTTGCCCAATCGACGAATTCGTCCAACTGGTTTCCAAGAGTTTTTGTTTTGACCACTTCTAAATTGCATTGAAAGAAATTGATCTTCAAGCATTGCTCGATGTTCATCCGACACGTCTTCTTCACTTAATGGTAACTTATGCAAAGGTTCATACAAGCCTTTAGCTATTTCAAAATCTGCTTCACGTCCACCAAATCGTGTTTGTAACATAGTGTAGAAACGTTTTTGTGTTTCATAAGCAGGATCATCACTAGATGGCAGTCCAGTATGTTCTAGAATTTTACCATTAATACAGATCCAAAGTGGATGTTCAGGATCAGTTCCATTGTGTTTTGCAAGTTCATCAAGTGTATAGAATACGTCAGGTGGCACATCTGTAATTGTTTGATACGTGTGAGGTTCTTTTCGAGGTATTACTGGTTGCTCTTGTCGTAGTCGATTGATATAATCTGAGCGAACACCATAATGTTCACATCCTTTCACAATGATATCGAGATAACGTTCACTTGGATGATTATCTTGAGGTTGGGTTATTTCCATTTTATATGCATAGACAGCATGAGATTGATTTTGATAGTTGACAGTTGGAACTATGATTCGTTGATAAGTCATTTCCAATTTATCTAAACGAGCCATTTGTTCTTCAGAAAGTAAATGAACTACACCATCAAATTCCGCTTCTTGACATGGTTCTAAGTCAGCCATACCAGCAGCTCCTCGAAAAACAATGCGATGATTAAGGCATCTCACTGGATAAGAAATAATGGGGATAAGATCTCGAAGATATAGAGAGATCGGATTATTCATACTTCCTATAGCAAGATACCAGAAAAATTTTCGACCATCAGGAAGAACAATAGTAGGCTCTTGAGGATTGTCATGTACAAGAATTGAATCAATTGATGATTTATCAAGTTGAATAATTTTAGAACGAACAATATCCCATGATAATTTAAAATTTGCATCACTCGACGAAGAATTTAAACGATGTGGAGAGTCTGTCATTATTTATAGTTTCAGTTATAAAACAGCGTGTATGCTTCTAAATGCAACACGTTTTTATACTACGCACATTCACCACTTGTGAAAAGAAAAGGAAAGAGAAAAAAAAAGAGAACGATTTACATGATGTTGACACAGTGATAAACAAGCTGCACGACGACGCAAAAAAAAACCTTCGAACGTTTGAGTACGGCATGAATCGTACTTTCTGTATGATGCACATAATCAACATTTAACGAGTTGAAACGTTTGTTTTTTACCATTTTTTTTTGTTTTCAGTGTACATTTGCATAAAATTAAATATAGCAGTCAATGTGTAGTAACCTACATTGAAAAATAGATGGGCATTATTCGATAAATTTAACGCAATTTTCCTTCTAGTTTGTTTATTGAACCAGGTGGAAGGTGTGGATGAATAGAGTATGCAAACTCATACCCACACCCACTCTCTAAATAATGTATACTATATGTAGAAATCTCAAACTCGTATTTTATTAAGTATTTCACAATGACATACGATACAAAAGCGAAATCTATTAATTTCACAAGAAAACTGACGAATAACTATGTTATTCTAGTTTTAGTTAAATATAAATACAAGAAATTACTGCTCATTTCGATTCAGCTCGATCACCAAATATGTATGCATTTGCTTTTGTTGGTATCGAGTGATGAGAATGATTATCAATGACTGATGATGTTACCGATGTCGAAGCAGGCGTAACTCTTGATGTTCGTCGTGAAGATTTAGTAGAGTGATGTATTGCTTTCCTTTTCAAAAGTGATGAACGACTACTTTGCTTTTGATTCTGCTCATATTCAAAAGCATTATAAATTGTATAGGAGTGGGTGGGTAGATCTATTAAACCATCTTGATGGAAAGACGTGTTTGTTGCAATAGAACGTGTTTCAGGACGTTTACGAGAACAACTAAATTAAAATATGTTCTCAATTAGTGTCCATAAGAAAGTCGAAACTTACCAGATTCGATAGCAGCAACAACAAAAAATAAAATCTAGTAGAAGTGTGCCAAGAGCGGAAAGTACTGGTGCAAGCCAAGGCCATGGCCACAAAGAGTTACAGACTGAAAATATACTGGAAATTCGAACATACAAAAAACAAGGGAGAACAAATTACCTGGAGATGATACCACTACAACGGCATTAGTGGTATTAAACGTTTCGTGATGAGTTGTTAATTCTTCCAACAATGAACTTGAAGTCATACTAGTACTTCAATTAAACGAATTTGAAGAAATATTTTTTTTGATTTATATAAGCTATTATGTCAATAGTTATTATTAATAATCAGTAGAAAGAAAAGTGAACATAGGATGATTGTATCGTATTATTTTAGATAATTAAAGTTTAATCTCGTTTTTTTGGTTCAAACGGAGTCTTCTAATCTATATTTGATGACAGTGAAAATTGCAAAGTCTAAAGTGATCTCAGTAATCATTTTCCCATTAAAAAAATGTTGCTATTTCATCTTTGATAAGATTTTAACTAAATGATCTTCTACAACGGCAATTAGGCGTTAAATACTAAGTACGTACTCATCTGTGTATTCGGAGACTGTTGTATAATCAACTGTAGTCGGTGTTGTAGAATCAACTATAGTCGGTGTTATATAATCAGCTGTAGTCAGTGTTGTAGGATCAACTGTAGTCGGTATTATCTGCCCCGGACATGATGGTACTCTTTCAACAGCCACTATAAATGACATACAATATTGATTTGATTGCACATTGTCATTAGAACATAAGATATTCTGTTTCATTAAAAAATCTTGTCGTTTTCAACAAACCTGTCAATTGCAATTGCACAAAGAATTTGTGATCCTACTTGGACAGCCGCTGGTGTCCATGTTAACAACACTGACCACAATACTGTTGTGTTTTGTACAATAGGTGTTTTTGTAAGAAATCTAAATGATAAAATAGCAATATCTTTAATTTTGGTTGAGTTTGGACAAAAATTTTCAGCTATGAGTTCAATATTAAATGATGTGCCAACTTTGATTCCAATACATTGGTCTGAACTAGTAGTAGGACCAGTAAGAAGTGGTCGATAGGGACATGATGATTTCTGTTGTACATTGATTAGAAATTGGACGGGTATGGTACTCAATGGTAAAGCCGCTGTAGAATCGATGAAATCTTCAATCTAAACATACGTTTTTTTTGAGATATTAAGATTAAATGAATATAATTAGATTTATCTTTGTTTGAAATACAAAATAAAAATATGAGCTCTTTTTTATTTCTTACCACAATGGCTACTGCATACCAATCAGCTACATTAGAACCTGTAATGAGTAATGTACAATTCGAAAACATGATAGTTCCGATCGGTAACGAATTTGGAGGGCACACACTTGCACATTCGGCTGTAGTACTGGCAAAACGGCATCGTACTTGATCATTATCGGCATCCATTGTTGGTATAATAATTGTTTGTGAAATTCCTACTGGTATAAAACGTGGAGAGATCATTATGGCGACTGGTGGAGTATTATATTTGTTATTGGACCGTAATTCTAGATCAATCGAACATAAAAGACTCCAGCCAGCAGAAACTCCTATACCATTTGGTAATGATAAGCTACGCCATTGCCCACTCGCGTATATAACAACACAATAGGATGCATCTTCTACATCAATGACGGTAGAATTTTGAATAACTGTCATATCGAAACTTATCGAATAATCGATACACTGTGATTCAGATATAATACTTTGAGACCAACTTGACTGATTGAAGTGTTTATAACATTGTAGTTGTATACGAATAGAAACTGATGGTGATTGCTGACTAATCATTGTATCGTTACATTAAGTCGACACATGAGTGAAGATGTAAGTTTGTGTAAGAAAAATTGATATATTCGTTCCAGAATTGTTTAAAATCTTGTATGTAATTGATCCACCTCTAAAGTGTGATGCTTGAATCGAATTAAGAACAGACGTCATACAAATGAATAATAAGAATAGTCCTATATTGGTCCGCATTTCTTTGAACTTTGATCGATTGATTAATTAATTCAGAACTTTATAATGTACAGAAGTTTCAAAATAGTATTGAATGAATATGCTCAAATTTCCTCAATTATAATGCATAATTTTCTGTTTAATACTTTGACGGTTCTATAGAGAAGATTAAATGTCATTGTTAGAGTGTTTTTTTAGTTTTCTACGACTGTGATTAGACCATATTTAACATCAACCCAGTTGCAGTTTCGAAGGAGAAGCGAGAGAAATTACTTAAATAATATATCATAGATTGCTTTTTATAGTGCATTAAAATTAAATCATGGTACTTTGTTTTCAACAAATATTTATGCTCGTTCGATGTTGTGTATAAATTATCTCAGATTTCTGACAACCGACTGTGTTGTTCTCACTTTCATATAGCAAACATAAATTAATTTTTAATTTACTTGAATATCATGCATCAAACCTTATAGCATTACAATGTAACTTTAATCAGTGAATTGTTTCTTCGCATAAAAATAAAGTGACGAGTTCATTATTATTGGGTTGCTTCAGCGGATACAGCTGGAATATTACAAATAGAATATCTCTTCTTTATGGAGCCGGCAACGTTCATTTTCTTCAGCAGATCATGATATATCAGTTTATCGATACACTTATGCTCGTTGAACTTTTCTATTGTACCATAAATATTTAAACCAGAGACTCGATGAGCTCTCCAAAATCCCACTTTGACGAAATAGATTTTGCTGAAAGGTTTTTGAAAATAAAGAATTTTACTCTGCATATTAAACAACAACAAAACAAAAGACAACAGTTAGTATCTGTTAAAAGTCGAATGTCACTTCTAAAGAATTATACAATATTAACTATCAAACTTTTTGTATAAAAATCGATAATCGAGGTGAGTGTAGATGCTCTTTTAATCACACCCACACCCTCATCTCTCAGTATATATGTTTGTATTGCATTGCCATATGTACACTTGTACTCTAGTAATTTTCTATTATAGTATATTGATTGTATTCTTAAAGTTATTTAGTAAAAGAAAGATATTCAATTTACTGTCATTATTATTATTTCGATTGATTTAATAACAGTTAAATTAAAGACTAAATTATCAACATTATGCAAAGCATTTTCAGTTTGACATTATACTCATAAATTCTTGTTATTAAGTTTGAATAGAAATCGGTTTTAATACATGCTATGAAGTAAATCATTGTGCTATTATATAAAAACTTTATGAACTATCACGAACAAGTATGCACGTGCCATTAGGGGTGTTACTTTATCTTTATTTTATAAAGAATAAAGAAAATCTTCATTTCAAAAATAAAGATAAAGAAAATATTTACGAAGTGATCGGTAAATAGATAAATAATTGATATAAAAACAGGTAATATTGATCACAGATTTTCCTTTCACTAGTCACATTCTACTATGGAACAATGCAAGCAAATGAATATGAGGCATAGAAGGTTTTATGGAAAAAACTCCTTTTCAGAATCTTTTTTAGCCTGTATGGAAAAGATAAAATTTTGGGTTTTTAAGAAAAAAACTTTCTTTATTCTTTATAAAACTAAAGACAAAGTAAAATCCCTACTTGTCATACCCATATCTTTGTATGCAAAATTCATTTCTCATCAAGAGTAATATGTCATACAACAAAATATATTTTTATTTATTAATTTACGAGTTCTAGGAATGGGTGA